AGTCACTTCTGGGGTGTGAGTTTTCAGTTGTTAGTTATATATATATATATATATAATATATATTTATTATATATATATATATATATATATATATCTGACAACTGAAAACTCACACCCCAGAAGTGACTCGAACCCATACTGCCAGAAGCAATGCATCTGATGTACAGGATCTCTTAACCACTTGACCAACACGACCGGACAAAAGAGGATGGTAGCCGAGGCTAACTCCCCTCTTCCCGCCGGCACTCGGGGGGGGGGGGGGAGCCGAATTAGCCTCGGCTACCATCCTCTTTTGTCCGGTCGTGTTGGTCAAGTGGTTAAGAGATCCTGTACATCAGATGCATTGCTTCTGGCAGTATGGGTTCGAGTCACTTCTGGGGTGTGAGACCTGTCCCCAGAAGTTCATATCAAGAGGATAACATCAGCATATGCCAGGTTGGCTAACATAAGAACGGCCTTTAGAAACTTGTGTAAGGAATCTTTCAGAACATTATATACCACATATGTCAGACCAATCCTGGAGTATGCGGCTCCAGCATGGAGTCCATATCTAGTCAAGCATAAGACCAAACTGGAAAAGGTTCAAAGGTTTTCTCCCAGACTAGTACCCGAACTGAGGAGTATGAGCTACGAGGAGAGACTACGGGAATTAAGCCTCACGGTTCTGGGAGACAGAAGAGTTAGAGGGGACATGATTACCACATACAAGATTCTAAGAGGACTTGATAAGTTAGATAAAGAGACTTTTTAACACAAGGGGCACACGCACCATGGGACACAGGTGAAAATTGAGTGCCTAAATGAGCCATAGAGACGTTAGAAAGAATTTTTTCAGTGTCAGAGTAGTAGACAAATGGAATGTTTTAGGAAGTGATGTGGTGGAGGCTGACTCCATACACAGTTTCAAGTGTAGATATGATAGAGCCCAGTAGGCTCAGGACCCTGTACACCAGTTGAATGACGGTTGAGAGGCGGGACCAAAGAGCCAGAGCTCAACCCCCGCAAGTACAAATAGGTGAGTAAAGAGCTTCAGGTAGAGTGGAAGGAAAGCCATAACGCTACACTTATTTTTACTCTAGAAAATAAAAAGAGAGGAAGAGAAGCCACGTGACATCATAGAAGAGATTCGCCCCCCTGACATCAAGGCAGGGAGGGATCAAGACTGCAATTGCTTTGCAGCTGCGCTCAGGCTATATAAGGGAAGACAGCAAGGAGCCCAGGATGTGTCATGTACTAATAGGATCGAACCAGGGGGCTCTGTGGAATATTTTGCAGGTACAGCGTTCGGGAAGGTGTGAGTACAGGTGGACACACTCTGGGCAGATGGGCCTAGAGTAATGTGCTACAGCGGTGGTGGCACAGCAAGGAAGGATGACCATGGAGCTGTGATGTATCTACAGCGTTCTGGGGTTGGTGCTCTGGGACAAGACGGCAGCATGGACCCGAGGGGCCATGACCCTGAGGTGGGCCCCTGGGATGAGACGGCAGCATGGATCCGATGGGCCATGACCCTGGAGTAGGTATCTCCGTTGCTCTGGAGGCCAGGATCACGTTAGCCCACATCAGCGATGGAACATTGACAACATTCACTAGGCTGGGCAGCCTGGGTTGTCCAAGACCTTATCCCTGTCTGGGTCATAGAGGATCTCTGACCTAGCACCCATGGACGAGACGATGACAGAAGAGTAATGCGGCCAGTGAAACATTTTTTCGATGTGTGTGATCATTGTAAGCCCTTATGTGAACAGTACAGGGCAGGTGTAAATTTGTTTAAGAAATTGTTTCTGTGGCTGAAGAACCTTAGATCATGTGTTGTGTAAACATTAATGACAAGTGTCATATTTGTTTAGTGCCAGCATTCTGGTCCATGTTATTTTTATGGTTATGTATATATTAATATGCCAGCAGTTTATGTTGTGCATTGTGGGGTATGGGTAAATAAATATTACAGACTATGTTACCCGTGCTATGGTGTGGATTTAATGTATATGAGGTATATAGGTGTTGTGATTCATGTCGGGCAATTTTTTTAATTATACGAAATTATTTCACGTGTATTGTGAACTTGCAGTATGAATTTGAAGTAGTACATATGGTGGGTGCATCCTCCAATTCCTTGCGGTAATATAACCATTGCAATGATGCATATGGGAACATATGCGTGTTTAAGGAGAGGAGTAGTGTTGTAACCCACAAGTTAAGAGTTAATATTAGCTAGTGAATGAAGCACTACAACACTTAACAAATGAGGGGGTGGAGGTACTTGTTAGATATTCAGACTGGTCACACACCGAGGTAAGGTCCAAGGGTTTAACACAGCCATTGCCAACCCAAACGAATGTATTGGTCAATAGGACAAAGGGTGATCTCTAGTTTCTGGGAACAAGGAGATTTACAGTTAATCGGATTATACCCTTCTAGGGATGCGGATTGCAGTGGTTGAGGCTTCGACCGGCTGGAGGGAGTCTCGTGGTAGCAGCGCTTCTAGCAAGTCCTCAAGTCCGCCTGTAGCAACAACGAAGTGAACCGACCAAGTGTGGGGACCCAATGTTGTTCTTGCTGTTAAAGTCGAATCTGCAGTATGTGAGTATTGTATGGAAGACTAACCGGGTGTGGAGAGTTGTAGTGATGATTCGGTGTTAGGGACTAAGGCGGAGGTTACGAGTTCCGGTGGAGACCGGGAAGGTACATTGGGGTTACTGTATGGTAGCTGATTTAACCAGAGAAAGTGGATTAATGTGTTAATTATCATCAGAGTATCTTTATGTAATTAAATTGGAAAATCTGACAGCCTTAAATCACCTTCCATATGTTCCTTCACTAAGTTCCTGTATGAACCTAGAGGGAGGTCTCAAGGGTTCTGGTGTAGAGAATTACATGACCGGAGTAACTGTTCCTGAGGCCAGGGAGTTATAGTTGTGTAATCGCTGTGTTCAGAGTGAACAAGAGTTCAGCGATCACGACAAGAGGAGAATGGTGAGAGGAGGAGAGGGAGAGGCCAACATGACGGGCCATTACACACCACTTGCAGCCGGAAAGTGTTGCAGTGTTCCGCCACTTGCTGCTGGAAAGTGTTGCAGTCTTCCACCACTTGCTGCCGGAAAGTGTTGCAGTCTTCCACCACTTGCTGCCGGAAAGTGTTGCAATGTTCCGCTGCCGGAAAGTGTTAGCGCAACAAATTAATTCTCGCATCGTTACGTTTCTCTGAGAGTGATTACAACTTATTGCATAAGTTTTGGACATTTCAAATATTTTCCCAAAGTTTAAATGAGATGTTTCTCTCATATTGCTCAAAAAGATAAACTTATGACTGAGAAACATGACATATTTTCTCATGAAATTCAGCAACAGTCAGGACAAATTTATACAAAAATTTTCAACATCAATTACCAATTATCATGACAGATTTGCTCATGCATTTCCAGCAACAATCAACCGTTATCATTTACCTGAAGCTGTTGGGCAAACGTTATCGTTGCTTCATAATGATACTCGTTAATTAACACTCGTTAATGAGAAAGTTTGTCATTGTGTATGTTAACTAATTAAAGTTTACAGGGAATTTTATTAATATAGCGAATCTTACCCTTATAATTAATCTAGTTCAATAGATTAGTGAACACGAATAAGATCTATTGAGCTTCGGCTTTCTTTAAAAAAATCTAGTTTATTAGTGAAATTACCTTAGTTTTGTGAAGCAGTAATTTTAACTGAATATATTATAAATTGTAGACAGTTCTGCAACGTAAAGTTTAACGAAAATTGTACGATTTTAGAACATCAGGTAATCTAAATTGTACGATTTTAGAACATCAGGTAATCTAAATTGTACGATTTTAGAACATCAGGTAATCTAAATTGTACGATTTTAGAACATCAGGTAATCTAAATTGTACGATTTTAGAACATCAGGTAATCTAAATTGTACGATTTTAGAACATCAGGTAATCTAAATTGTACGATTTTAGAACATCAGGTAATCTAAATTATACGATTTTAGAACATCAGGTAATCTAAATTGTACGATTTTAGAACATCAGGTAATCTAAATTATACGATTTTAGAACATCAGGTAATCTAAATTGTACGATTTTAGAACATCAGGTAATCTAAATTGTACGATTTTAGAACATCAGGTAATCTAAATTTAACAGTTTACTTTTTTTAAAACAATTTAAATGTAAGGGCAACATTCCGAAACAAAATTTCCTTGTAGTATAAAGTAAAAATTAATATATTTTGTTTATTCTGGTTTAGAAATAATTTGATCAAAATGTTGTAAATACAGGTTTATCGAATTACAATAATAAAACCTTGGTTAATAAGTTATTATAGAAAACTATATGAAATTAATTCAGTGGAGGACGTCTCTCTGGAGACTCGTCATGGCGTCTCAAGGACCTAATAGTACGTCGCATTTTGACGTATAATTCCCGTAAGGCCGAAAACTGACGGAGTAAACATGGCGGCTGCTGGCTCAATTATCGTGCTGTGTTTCGGCTCTCGGTTAGGCTCGGTTCGTGCAAATTAGTACATCAATTTAGTGAAGTCTTGAACGCTCGGGAGAACAGGCTGCGTAGTCAACACGAATAAGCTCGATTGAGCTTCGACTTTCTTTAATTAAAAAATCTAGTTTATTAGTGAAATTACCTGAGTTTTGTGAAGCAGTAATTTTAACTGAATATATTATAAATTGTACAAAGAAAACGGGATCCGAGAGTAAGGTATATATGTTATTTATGAGTGAGCACGAGGATGCTGTTGTGAGTAAGGTTCATGTGGGTCGTAGTATATTGTTGTGAGTAGAGTGTGAGAATCCCAAGATTTCTCTTTGAGAGGAATCCCGCGGATTTCCGCTTGCGGAACTACGGAATACAAGGAGCACTTAGGATCCTCTCTTTGACTTCAGACCATTACACGCAGGTCTGAATTCATGAACGTCTGGAAGCGCAAGGTTTGTGGAGGGACTCGTGCTTACTCAAACACCTTTGTGACTGTGTTTACTGCCTCTCTGCACGGCAGTGTATGTGTTCACTACCACGGTACTCGCCCTGTATGTGTTCACTACCACTGTACTCACCCTGTATGCGTTCACTACCCTGGTACTCGCCCTGTATGTGTTCACTACCCTGGTACTCACCCTGTATGTGTTCACTACCCTGGTACTCACCCTGTATGTGTTCACTACCACGGTACTCACCCTGTATGTGTTCACTACCACGGTACTCACCCTGTATGTGTTCACTACCACGGTACTCATCCTGTATGTGTTCACTACCACGGTACTCGCCCTGTATGTGTTCACTACCACTGTACTCACCCTGTATGCGTTCACTACCCTGGTACTCGCCCTGTATGTGTTCACTACCCTGGTACTCACCCTGTATGTGTTCACTACCCTGGTACTCACCCTGTATGTGTTCACTACCACGGTACTCACCCTGTATGTGTTCACTACCACGGTACTCACCCTGTATGTGTTCACTACCACGGTACTCATCCTGTATGTGTTCACTACCACGGTACTCGCCCTGTATGTGTTCACTACCACGGTACTCGCCCTGTATGTGTTCACTACCCTGGTACTCGCCCTGTATGTGTTCACTACCCTGGTACTCACCCTGTATGTGTTCACTACCCTGGTACTCACCCTGTATGTGTTCAATACCCTGGTACTCACCCTGTATGTGTTCACTACCATGGTACTCACCCTGTATGTGTTCACTACCCTGGTACTCACCCTGTATGTGTTCACTACCCTGGTACTCACCCTGTATGTGTTCAATACCCTGGTACTCACCCTGTATGTGTTCACTACCATGGTACTCACCCTGTATGTGTTCACTACCCTGGTACTCGCCCTGTATGTGTTCACTACCACGGTACTCACCCTGAATGTATTCACTACCCAAGCACTCACTAAAGCTGGAGTGCACATTTGCACGGTATAATATATATACGAAGACATACACAGAAATATTCATAGTATTCACACATGCAGCCAATATCATTAACTAATATTTAAAATAATTCCTCTCTTTCTCAATTGCTTTCGTCTCAATATTATTTAACCAATTACACGCCTTTACCCACGAGGTGTCACACTGGATGATTGGAGAACCTTCTATTTCTTCAATATTAGAGTAGGAGAGTGCTCGAGCTAATGGTGTCGCCGGAGGGCCAACTTATGCCGGGTGAGGAGGCAGAGACGGTCTAGCGGGCAACTTATGCCGGGTGAGGAGGCAGAGACGGTCTAGCGGGCATAATTGCACACTCTAACTACGTCCATTGTGTCGAGTGAATGATTTAATTTTCCACTTATTTAAATATCGAGAGTGAGCACTCTGGAACTCTTCTGCCTCCCGGCCCTTCGTCGAGGGCTCCAGTATTTACCCAGGGGAAATTATGAGAGCGTTTTTATTTTAATATTCATATGTACATATTATTAGCCAATATAAATGTATATAGAGCTACACGCACGCACACGCACACACGCACTCGCAGATGCACACGTGCACGCGCGCGCGCGCACACACACACACACACACACACACACACACACACACACACACACACACACACACACACACACACACACAGAACCCCCCCCCCCCTATCCCAAACCCTCCAAACCCCCCACTCAAATTCTAAGCCAAATCTCCCTCCCCCCACACCCCAATCCCACCCTTCTACCCCTCCCCTCCTCCAACCATGTCCCCCTCCCCTTTTTCCTTCCCGTCCTCCCTCCCCCTTCATCCCATACCCTCCCTGCCCCCCCCATCCCGTTCACTTAACCCCCGCCCCTCACCCCAGTATCCTCTGAGACCCTGTTATCCACCTCAAAAAATCCTCACACCCATGGAACTGCTTCCCCCACCAGCAGAACACTCGCCAAATAGGCGATTTGAGAAGGGACAGAAGAAAGTGAGCCTCAGGGCAATGTATACTAACATAGATGGAATTACAAATAAAGCAAATGAGCTTGGAGAATGGGTACTAGAAGAAAACCCAGACATAATAACACTCACAGAAACAAAGCTAACGTAAACCATAACAAATGCAGTGTTTCCACAGGAATATTATGTTATAAGGAAAGAGAGGGAAGGAAGAGGTGGTGGTGGTGTAGCTCTGCTGGTAAGAAAGGGCTGGGACTTTGAGGAGATGGTCATTCAGGGCTGTGAGGGTTTCAGTGACTACATAGCAGGTACTATAACAACTGGAGGACAAAAAATTTTAGCCGTAGTCATATATAATCCACCACCAAATGACAGAAGACCCAGACAGGAATATGATAGAAATAACATGGTGGCCATGTTATTTCTATCATATTCCTATTCCAGACCAATCCTGGAGTATGCAGCTCCAGCATGGAGTGCATATCTAGTCAAGCATAAGACTAAACTGGAAGAGGTTCAAAGGTTTGCCACCAGACTAGTATTCGAACTGAGAAGTATGAGCTACGAAGAGAGACTCCGGGAATTAAACCTCACGCCACTGGGAAACGGAAGAGTAAGAAGGGACATGATCACCACTTACAAAATTCTCAGAGGAATTGATAGGGTTGATAAAGACAGGCTATTTAACACAAAGGGCACACACGCACTAGGGGACACAGGTGGAATTTGAGTGCCCAAATGAGCCATAAAGATGTTACAATTTTTTTCAGTGTTAGAGTAGTAGACAAATTAAATGCATTAGGAAGTGATGTGATGAAGGCTGACTCCATACACAGTTTCAAGTGTAGAGATGATAAAGCCCAATAGGCTCTGGAACCTGTACATTAGTTGATTGACAGTTGAGAGGCGGGACCAAAGAGCCAGAGCTCAACCCCCGCAAGCACAACTAGGTTAGTACACACACACAAACAAGAACTTTGTAACACAGCATCAACATGGGTTCAGGGATGGCAAGTCCTGCCTCACAGGATTAATTGAATTCTATGAAAAGGCAACAAAAAATCAGGCAAGTAAGAGAGGGGTGGGCAGAATGCATTTTTCTCGATAGCCAGAAAGCCTTTGACACAGTACCACACAAGAGGCTAGTGCAAAAGCTGGAGATGCAGGTTGGAGTGAAAGGGAAGGTACTCCATTGGATAAGGGAGTAGCTAAGCAACAGAAGACAAAGAGTCACTGTGAAGGGTGAGGTCTCAGATTGGCGAGACATCACCAGTGGAGTCCCGCGGGGTTCAGTCCTTGGACCTATACTGTTTCTGATATATGTAAATGCTCTCCCAAAGGGTATAGAATCGTTCCTCTTATTGTTTGCCGATGATGCAAAAATTATCAGGAAGATTAAAATAGAAGAACATAGTATGAGGCTACAAGATGACCTAGACAGACTGAATGAATTGCCCAACAAATGGTTACTAAAGTTCAACCTGAGTAATTGTAAGATAATGAAACTAGGCAGTGGAAACAGGCCAGACACTGATTATAGAATGGGAGATGAATTACTTAATGAAACGGTCAGTGAAAGCTCTAGGAGTTGATATCACACCAAACCTGTCTCATCTACAAGTATTTCATCTCCTATTCTGTATCCTGTGTCTGGCTTCCTGTTTCCACCGCCTAGTTTCATTACTTTGCATTTACTCGGGTTAAACTTCAACAGCTATTTGTTGGATCATTCACTCAATCTGTCTAGGTCATCTTGTAGCCTCCTACTATCATCCTGTTTCAATATTCCTCATAATTTTTTGCATCATCAGTAAACATTGAGAGAAACGAGTCTATACCCTCTGGGAGATCATTTACATATACCAGAAACAGTATAGGTCCAAGGACTGACCCCTGCGGGACTCTACTTGTATCGACTCGCCACTCTGAGACCTCACCGTTCACATTGACTCGTTTTCTCCCTTTTGTTTAGGTACTCCTTTATCCAATGGAGTACCTTCCCTTTCACTCAAGCCTGCATCTCCAGCTTTTTCACTAGCCTCTTGTGTGGTACTATATCAAAGGCTTTCTGGCAATCCAAAAATATGCAGTCGGCCCTTCCTCCCTTTCTCGCCTGATTTTTGTTGCCTGGTCGTGGAATTCAAGTAACCCTGTGAGGCAGGACTTGCCATCCCTGAACCCATGTTGATGCTGTGTTACAAAGTTCTTTCGCTCAAGATTTTCCACTAGCTTTCTTCACACAATCTTCTCCATCAGTTTGCATGGTATGCAGGTTAGAGACACTGGCCTGTAGTTCAGTGCCTCCTGTCTATCCACTTTCTTGTATATCGGAACTACATTGGCTGCTGTCCAAATTTCTGGCAGTTTCCCTGTTGCCAGTGATTTGTTATACACTATGGAGAGTGGCAGGCACAGTGCTTCTGCTCCTTCCCTTAGTATCCAAAGGGAGATTCCATCTGAGCCTATAGTCTTTGTCACATCCAACTCTAGTAAACACTTCCTTACTTCCCCACTGGTAATCTCAAACTCTTCTAGTGGTTCCTGGTTAACGATTCCCTCTCTTATCTCTGGAATCTCTCCTTGCTCTAAGGTGAAGAACTCCTGGAATTTCTTATTCATTTCCTCACACACTTCCTTGTCGTTTGTAGAGAATCCTTCTGCCCCTATCCTTATATTCATAACCTGTTCCTTTACTGTTGTTTTTCTCCTGATGTGGCTGTGCAGCAATTTAGGTTGAGTCTTTGCCTTGCTTGTGATGTCATTTTCGTATCGTCTTTCTGCCTCTCTTCTCATCCTGACATATTCATTCCTGGCATTCTGGTATCTTTCTCTGCTCTCAAGTGTCCTGTTATTCCTATAGTTTCTCCATGCCCTTTTACTTTGCTGCTTAGCTAGCCTACATCTCTGATTAAACCATGGGTTTCTCATCTTCATTTCACTGTTTCCCTTTTGAACTGGGACAAACCTGTTTGCTGCTTCCTTGCACTTGTGCGTGATGAAGTCCATCATGTCTTGGGCCGTCTTTCCCCCTGATCTCTGTTTCCCATGTTAGGAAACTGTTAGGAAACCATGTTAGGATCTGTTAGGAAATTTCTTAATTCCTCATAGTTTCCCTTTCGGATTGCAAGTTTTTTGTTTTCAGTACTCCTCCTCGAGTTCAATAACCCTGCCTCAACCAGATACTCAAACGCCTGTACATTGTGGTCGCTCATTCCTACTGGGGCCTTACAGCCGATTTCCCTTGTGTCGGAGTCGTTCAGAGTGAGGACTAGGTCGAGTCTCACTGATTCATCGTTTCCTCTCATCCTTGTGGGTTCCCTGACATGTTGGCTTAGAAAATTTCTTGTCATCACCTCCATTAGTTTGGCTCCCCATGTACCCTTTCCTCCATGCGGTTCCTTGTTCTCCCAGTTTATCCTTCCGTGACTGAAGTCTTTCATGAGGAGCAGATGGGATCTATTTCTCTAGGCAGCAGAGGCTGCCTTCTCAATTATAGTGTTAACTGCCATGTTGTTGTTGTTGTTGTCATACTCGCGCGCGTGTGTACTCACCTAGTTGTACTCACCTAGTTGTGCTTGCGGGGGTTGAGCTCTGGCTCTTTGGTCCCGCCTCTCAACTGTCAATCAACAGGTGTACAGGTTCCTGAGCCTATTGGGCTCTATCATATCTACACTTGAAACTGTGTATGGAGTCAGCCTCCACCACATCACTGCCTAATGCATTCCATTTGTCAACCACTCTGACACTAAAAAAGTTCTTTCTAATATCTCTGTGGCTCATTTGGGCGCTCAGTTTCCACCTGTGTCCCATAGTGCGTGTGCCCCTTGTGTTAAACAGCCTGTCTTTATCAACCCTGTCGATTCCCTTGAGGATCTTGAATGTGGTGATCATGTCCCCCCTAATTCTTCTGTCTTCCAACGAAGTGAGGTTTAATTCCCATAGTCTCTCCTCGTAGCTCATACCTCTCAGCTCGGGTACTAGTCTGGTGGCAAACCTTTGAACCTCTTCCAGTTTAGTCTTATGCTTGACTAGATATGGACTCCATGCTGGTGCCGCATACTCCAGGATTGGTCTGACATATGTGGTAT